TACATACATACATATATATATATATATATATATATATATATATATATATATATATATATATATATATATATATATATATAATTACACTATCACACACATACACATACACATAAATGTAAGGACATATATCTACAGGTATGTATGTATGTACACATATTTATATAAGTATGTATGAAAGTATGTATATGTAAATATGTATCATTTTTTCAATTTTAGGAGTGCAGTTGATTGAGCATCTATCCCCACAGGAGCCTTATTGACACTGATACTCTTATGTGCATTGTTGGTTTGGTTGGATTATGAATAGGTAGCTTTGCAAATAAGGCAACATTTTTAGTTTATTCCAATTTTTTTCTTGAAGTAGTTTTTGATTTCAATAATCATGCTAAACATAAAGAATGTAACTTGATTATTTTTTAACAGATAATGCAAAATCAGCAGTAGGAGCTTCAGAGTCTGCTGACAAGTCTGCCACAAGGAAGGAACCCGTGGCACCAGAGCCTCCCCCAGAAGAGATGGAAAAAAAAGACATCCTTCCAGAACAGAAACTGGAGCAAACAAATGAAAAGGGAGTTGATAAATCTGCCGATAATAAAGATAACAAAAATAGTCAAGGCTTAGATGCCAAAGATGATAGTCTAAGAAAAACTTTGGAAGTTAAAGATGATAAGAGTCTTGGAGATACTCTACACCCTGATGCAATTAAGAGAGAAGAAAAAGAAAATAAAGAGGAAGGAGATAATGAGAAGAAGACACAAGTAGATCAGATAGAAAAGAAGCAAGCAATGGAAATAGAAGAACAGCAGCAAGAGCAAAAGAAGATCCTAGCTGAACAGAAAGAAATTCTAAAGGAATTAAAGGATCACAAAAATAAACAGGAGGAAGATGCAAAGAGAAAGGATTTAGAACTTCAAGGGAATAGTGCTGCAAATCCACGTATTAACAGTGTCCCTGTTAGTCTTCAAGGACATGCAGATCCGGCAATGTTGATTCTGAATCCAGCAGAACCAGTGGTTTCTCAAGATCTGAAGTCCTCACTTCTGAAAGATAATCCAGAAGCTCTGCCTGCATTTGATAATCTGCTGCCTAAAAATGCATATCAAATCAATCCACAAGTTCCAAATCAGCCAGCTGAATTGAATGCATACCAAAAAGGTCTCATCAATTCAGGCATACTACCTCATGCAGACAATGGAGCAGCAGTAGCAAGGCCACAAGAATCAGAAATCGGTAGATCTGCCATACAAAAAGGCAAACAAGTTGTACAAGGAGATAACCAGCCTAAACTGGCAAATGAAAATTTACCAAATAGTGGTAACCAAGTTTATGTAGTGAATATTGCAGGGTATGCTGGTGGCCAAGCAACATATGTTGAAGGTCAGGTAGGTTTTGAAGGTAACCAAGAAGTACCTTTTGGTAATCAAGCACCACATGTCAATAATAAGCTACCTTCAGTTGGTAAGGAGGCAGATAGACTTGAGTACCAAGGCCCTTCTGCAAACAACAATAATGAAGGTCCAGTCAGTTCAGCACAGCAGGTAAAAGGACTAGTTGCAGATATTAAAACAGGTCATGCAGATATACCTAGGAAAGATATTAAAATGTTAGGTCAAAGAGAAGATCCACCAACAGGAAATATGGAGGCAGATCCTATACAAAGTGAAAAGAAAGACTCCACTTTGATTGGTGTGGGGAAAAAATCATTTGACGCTAATGCTCAGAAAGCAGCTGCTGCCCATTTAGATTCAAACTTAAATTCAAATATAGTGAAAGAGCAACAATCCAAACAAGTAAGACCTCCCATGAAAGTTCCAATTATCAAAAACTACATTCATAAAGAGACCCAAAAACAAGGAAATGGACTTAAATTCAATATTGAAAAACAAGAGAGTGGAATGGTTATAACACCTAGTTCCCCAGATAAAGGAAACGATAAGGTAATTGTGAATAAGATGAAGACTGCAGAAGATAAAAAGGAAAAGAAAAATAATGCCCACGATGAAGAACGACGTAAAAGACATGTAGAAGCACAATATAGTCTAAATTTACCAGAGCTGGACCTTTTAAAAGAAGTAAGGAAGGACATTGGAGATGTTGTATATGATACTCGTCACCTTTTATGGACACATAGGAGACGCAAGAAGAAGCGTCCCAACAAAAATCGTGATTATCAGTACTGGGATGAAACTTGAATTTGATTTGCCCCTTGGAAAGATGTGTTATATACCTCATTAAAAAAGAAAAAAAAAGTGTATTAAGCTTTTAGGGATATGCAAATTTTACTAACCACAGGGACAAAGAAATTGAGGACTGAAACTAAGAGTTTCTGTAGAAATGGCATATTTTGGGTAAGAGGAATTTAAGGTACAGCCTTTCACTGCAAGGTGGCTAATTATATCAAAAGATGCCTGTGAAAATGTATTGTATCTAACAGGGTATATAACTTATCAGTCTTCCAAAGGTTTTGAAAATCTAGCAATTTTCCATCAGTTGTAGAATGTCATTGACAATATTACCTTTGTTATAAAGGGCTTTTGTATTGTTATGCAGTATGTTTGGAAATGATTCAGATACCTTTTCTTATTACTTTTGTAACATCCTTTAATGTTTTAAATACCTGGTAAGTGTGTTCTCGAAAACTCTGATGTTTTGAAAATATATTCATGTATGAAATGTAAGGTTTGTACTAGATATTGATAACCATTTTCTAAATTCAGGTCTGTACATAGTATCTGGGATTGTGCATTCCACATAGTATTTATACCATTACATGGTCAATGAACTGCCATTCATATAAAGGTCAGACAACATTATTTTATGAATTTGATAATGCACAAAATTTCTCTTATATAATCTCCAATTTTCAGTCTCTATGGTTTACAATTCTGTAAATTATTCATTTCCTTTGCAATGGCTGAATTTCTGATGTAATTAATATATAACTCTCTCTCTCTCTCTCTCTCTCTCTCTCTCTCTCTCTCTCTCTTTCTCTNATTATCTTTAAATTGATATCAATTATTATCATTATGGAATATCATATGGTCATATATATTATAATTATCATTACTGATATTATTATCATCATTATTATTATCATCAGTATTATAATCCCTCATTGCTCAAAAGTTGCGGATTATTGCAGGAAATTGGATTCTAGTTGTGATTTTTTTTTGCTTAAAAATGTAAAATATAACAGATTAATTTATTTTGAAACGATTTTTTTTGTTTTTTTGTTAGAGGATGCTGTCATTGAATAAACAACAACAACAAGAATATACAATTGGCTTTAAACCTAATACGTGTGATGTGTGATCTTCTCTCTCTTTCTTTCTCTCTCTTTTTCTATTTCTCTCTTGTGAAAAAAATAACAAGAAATGAATAAAAACAAAGGATATTAAAAAGTAATGTAATGTGTGATCTTCTCTCTCTTTCTTTCTCTCTCTTTTTCTATTTCTCTCTTGTGAAAAAAATAGCAAGAAATGAATAAAAACAAAGGATATTAAAAGTATTATAAACGATAAGATTAACAAATTTACTAATTCAATATAATGAGGCATAGAACTATTTATCGTGTTTTTGTTATTGCTAATAAAGATAATCATAAATTGGAATAATTTATTTGTTTCTTATTGGCAATATAAGCATTATCATTATTTAGAAAATAAGGGAGTTCACCGGCAGATGAATGAACAATAACAGTATCTTTTTAATAACCGGTTTAATCATCAATTTAATCTCTCTTTAATCATCAATTTTGTTATTATCATTATCTTTTATTTAATTACGACCATGATCGCTCCAGCAATTCACGTGCAATGATCGGGTTCGAATGAAGACCCAAGTTCCACGGCGTATTTTATTTTCTCCCATTCATTTCATTCGTTTTAATCCTTTTGCGAATTGTATAGTTCTTTTTTTTTATTAGTTTGTACCCTCCCCTTTCCCACATTCCATTAGCTGCTGCAGACACGCGATAGCAATCATACGTACAGACACACATATAGATAGATAGAGAAACGTACACACACGCTCCCCCCCCCCCCCACACACACACGCATACACACAGACACACAACATACACAGCACACACACACACACCACACATTCACGAACACAGAGACACACACACACACACAGAGGCACACACACACACACACAGGCACAAACACACACACAAACACGCATATACACAAACACACACACACACACACACACACACACAAACAGAAAGTCACACACGCGCACACAGGCTTACACACACACAGGCACACACTCCCGTCCTAAAAACACGCACACAAAAGGACCAACTTGACTGCCCAGAGGTCTCCGCCTGCCCCGAGGTGCTGATACGAGCTTCATTAGAGACGAAAATCGAGTTATGCCTTCTCTGTATACGGGGGGGGGGGGGCGGGCAGGGCTGGGGCGTACACATGAACGCGTACACAGGATGAACGCACGCGATCAAATATGTGCACATTCACACATACACGAGAATAAGCCTTTACGTACACACAATCAGACACAGGGAAATGAGGAAAATAATAAACAGTAAAAGGAAGGATTATACACGTATACACGGACATATTTCCACAAGGAGGGTACACATAGAAACATATTTTTTAACGATCTATATGCATTGTGTGCACATGGGAAGAAGTTATGTGCACATATCCCCCCTCCCCCCATGTTCTTACAATGGCTAACTTACTTAACAAAGTTTATAGAAGTACATAATGATTTTATCCCACAATTACGGTTATTATGATAACTAAGATTATTATTGTACCTCAGAAACGACGACGATAAAGTATGACAAGTGCTACTGTCATTTTGGTTATTAATATTTATTATCATATATGTTTTTTCCTTTTTTTATCTTATTTCTTCTACTTTTTTCTTCTACTCTTCCTCGTTATCACCGATATATCAGTCATCACATATTCTACTTTTTTCTACTCTCACCATTCACCAATATATCAATCATCACACATTCTTATGATCATTGTCTTTACGAATCAACTTTATCACTTTTATTCTCATTCCATCGTTATCACCATCACCAAAACCAGTATTACAGTTTAAATATTACTTCACAAAGTCCCAAACTAACTGCATTATTCCTCTAACGCAACACCGCATTAAAACAAAAACAAAAACAAAAAACAACAACAAAAAAAACAAATAAAAACGGCCGAATTAAGGGAATCAAAAGACAATTATCATCATCCACTTTCTCACCTCTTTCCCCTCCCCTCTCCCCCTCCTCTTGAGTGTTGTTGAGTTCCCCTCATTAAGCAATCAAGGCAAAGACCTCTTCGTCCTCCTCTTCTCTCTCTTTCTTTCTCTCTCTCTTCTCTATTTCTCTCTTGTGACTGGCCTCGGGGCAGCGGGTCCCCTCTCGGCCAGTTGCTGTGAGCGTTCGTTCTCTCTCTCTCTCTCTCGGTTTTTAAAAATTATGATTCTCCACGCACACACATACAGACACAGGCACACACACACACATACAGACACATACACACACACACAACACACACACACACCACACACACACACACACACACACACACACACCACATACACATACACATGCAATACATACATATATATACATATAGGTATATACATATATATATATATATATATATATATATATATATAATATATATTATATATATTATATATACACACACACACACAGTATAATATAATATATATATATATATATATATATATATATATATATACATATATATATATATATAATATATATATATATATATAATATATATATATATATAATATATATATATATATATATATATATATATATATACTATGTAGTTGTGTGTGTGTGTGTGTGTGTGTGTGTGTGTGTGTGTGTGTGTGTGTGTGTGTGTGTGTGGGTGTGTGTGTGTATGAGTATATATGCATATATATGAAAACATGTGTGTGTGTTGTGTATGTGTATCAGTATATCTGTTTTTTCTATATATGTATGTATGTTTGTTTGAATGCATTTGTCCGCATATATGTATCTATGTATGTAAATATGTATATATACATGTATGTATGTATGTATATATGTATGTATGTGCATGTATGTGTGTATATTTGCATATATCTCTCTCTTTCTATGCACGTATCTATTCATCTATTCATTCATCTAATAAAGAGTGGAAAGAAGAGATAGAGAAATGAAATGTAAGAGATATTAAAAGATTGGTCGATATATATATAATATAATATATATATATATATATATATATATATATATAGAGAGAGAGAGAGAGAGAGAGAGAGAGAGAGAGAGAGAGAGAGAGAGGATATATATAAATATATATAATTAATATATATATAATATACATATATATATATAATATATTATATATATATATATATATATATATATATATATAGAGAGAGAGAGAGAGAGAGAGAAGAGAGAGAGAGAGAGAGAGAGAGATAGAGATAGATGATAGATGGATAGAGAGTGAGAGAGAGAGATAGATAGGTAGAGAGATTAATAGATAGATATATAAATAGACAGATAGATAAATAGATAGATAGATAGATTGAGAGAGAGAGAGAGAGAGAGAGAGAGAGAGAGAGAGAGAGAGAGAGAGAGAGAGAGAGAGAGAGAGAGAGAGAGAGAGAGAGAGAGAGCATCAAAAAACACGAAAACAATCATATTCAAACATAAATAATAAAGACACGAACAGGTAGAGAAAGAGATAACACTGAATACCGATAAAAAAGATAAAAAAAAGCAAATACAACTAAAAAAAGAAATTCTCTCGAAACGAAACGAAACACCAATAACTCGAATAACCAATTAGGGCAAAAGAGGCCATTTAACCTTTCCATTTCCAAGCAACCTTTTCGAAATGCTCTGTTATCTATAAATATGGAAAACTCAATATCTGTATTCATGGATATTGCCAACTTTTCCAGCGTTTCGTTAATTGCTTCCATAAGGACGAAACATATAGAAAACGAAGCGATACAAACTGTACTTGGGACTTGGCTGGTTTTCGCGGGTTTTGTGTGGCTAAGCGACCTTTTTTTTGGTTGTTTTTTGGCGATTTTTTATTTTTAGTTTAATGATATTTATGCATTTGTTAGCGCGGGCGTGTGGGGCGTGGGCGGTTGGTGTGGGGTATGTGGTTTAGCTGGTGGGAATGGGGTTCCTAATATTATTCGTCAATTTTAGCCTTCAGCATATTACACGCAAACATAAAGTAATATGTATGCTTATATATGTTTATATCTATGTTTATATTCTCTCTCTCTGTCTCTGTCTGTCTTGTCTGTTCTGTCTGTCTGTCTGTCTGTCTGTCTGTCTGTCTGTCTGTCTGTCTGTCTGCTGTCTGTCTCTCTCTATCTCTCTCTCTCTCTCTCTCTCTCTCCTTCTCTCTTCTCTCTCTCTCTCTCTCTCTCTCTCTCTCTCTCTCTCTCTCTCTCCTCGCTCTCTCTCTCTCTCCTCTCTCTCTCTCTCTCTCTCTCTCTCTCTCTCTTCTCTCTCTCTCTCTCTCTCTCTCTTCCTCTCTCTCTCTTCTCTCTCTCTCTCTCTCTCTCTCTCTCTTTATGTCTGTTTATAGATATGTATGTGTGTGTGACTATGTGTGTACGAATTGGAAGAAAAGCGAGTGACACAATGATAATGATCATTATATTCTTATGAAAATGGGACATTACCGCTTCTTATATTCCTTTCTATTTGTTTACCTCGTTCTACATTTTAAAAACTACCAATATTCTTACAGTTCTCTAGTTTTTGTCTATTTCAGTATTTGCATTTGATAAAAGATGGGTTAGTGACTCCTGTTGTTGAATATTCCGCCTCTCCCTCCTTATTCTCCTCTTCCTCCTCCTCCTTTCTCTTCCCTTCCTCCTCTTCCTCACTCTACACCTCCGTTCTCTTTCTCCTTCTCCATTCTTCTCTTCCTTCTCCTCTCTCCTTCATCCTTTTTCCTCCTCCCTCCTGTC